GGGGTATATCTGTTCTTTTATTCAATATATTTTTATTTGTACTAGATGTTTCAAACAGTGAATCAGATCTGGAGATACAATGGTGAAGCCCACATAATTCTACCCATTCTGAAATGTTAGGCATCTTGGTGACATAGCAGTGTCACCACTTTGGGCTGTTAACCACCAGCTGCTCCAATGAGAAAGACAAAGCTTTAGGCTCCCATGGAAGTTTACAGTCTCAGAACTAGCAAGAACAATGCCCCTAAGGAAATCCCTCTTTCAATTAGATCACCAGATAGAAAGCAATTACATTATATAACATATGGAAGATCACCCAGGGAAGTTGACACATAATATTAACTAACATAGGGAGCATATTAATATTCCATGGAAGGAAGAGAATTCAGGAAGCACAGTCATTTTTGGTGACTTTGTGATTCACCATAATACAAGGTTGATAGGAAGTGAAGTCAATTGTTACAATAATATCCAATTTATTTTAAAAAGTAAATTTGATTCACATTTATTGATTAAAAAATTCAGTGTACAAAGAACCTATTCTTTGTTTAAAATTCTTTATCCCTTCACTTCAGTGCTATCTTGCCTGAGTTAACATGACTTTACTGGATTTCCATTCCTGTGAGAGATATTAAATAAAAACAGCAAGAGCGACAGAAGAAGAACATGCATATTGCTCTTAAAAGAGGGACTGAGTTTACATCAGAGAACATTTGTGATTCCTTAGTTTAAATGGATGTATGTTATATATACTGAAACAATTCTGATACATAACTCAATCATATTCCTTTTTTAAAAGATTATATTGAGGGCTCTTGTAGCTCGTGTAACTATCCTCACATCAATTGACTCAAGCACATTTGTACATGTTTTTGGGTGAGATCCCATTGGCAGGAAAGCATCAACTGATAGGCAGTCAGTCCTTGTATCCTGTGAAGATGCTTTGGCAGTTTTGGGCCCAACTGACTATTGAGAGAAGACTAAAGAGCGAGTTCCATGTGAGATTTTAGCAAGTGAAAAGAGAGCCCAATTTCTTCTTTGAAAATCCACTGAACTAAAGAACGGACAGGTGGTTTGGGTTTTATTTTGTTCTTAACATGGCAGAAGATGACAGCACCAAAATTCAAGATCAGCAGCAGGTATCTGCCACCATGTCTCCTGCTATTTCAGTCTCTGCTAGTTCTGAAACAGCTTCTGTCAGGTTTGAAAACCAGCTAAGAACCTTGGAGGTCACTGCCTTTCAAAGAGCAAACAAGATCTCACTCACTGTTAGAACATTGGGTTATTTTGTTTTCTACTAATTAATATTTGTTCAAAGGCCCATCTTTGTCTTTTTCAATAAGGCATGTTCTTGAAGTCATTTTTCTTGTAGTCGGTGAGATACCTGACCATCCGTTCATGCTTCTCTTCTAGTCCCCTTATGAACGAGGGCAGAATGGTATGGACTAGTATAGTTGGAGTCAGAGGATATTAATACCAGAGCACTCAGCAGAGTTTACACAGTGGAGAATCTTATGAAACTTTTGACTTTAGTGTTTATTCATTAGATATCGTTCCTCCTGCTAACGCACTTCAAGTTATTAAACCACAAAAAATCTCCGTTTTCACACTTGTTCAGCTTAAACCATACATGAGACCTACTCACTGCCATTGCCCTCCAGTCAATTCTTATCAGTAGAGTCCTGGAGAATAGAGTGGAACTGCACCTCTGAGTGTTCATGCCTATTATCTTTACGGGAGCAGAGAGCCTCGTGTTTTTCCTTCGAGTCCCTGGTGAGCCCCAGACCTCACGCTTAACAGCCCAAAGCTTAACCCACGATGCCACCAGGGTTTTTTGACATATGGTTACATATCAATAAACTGAATTCATCTTTTAATTTTTTCATAATAAATGATTTTTATAAATTATACATTTGTGCTATATGATGTTCATATGCAAATAACTATGTTAAATGAACTCTATCTTTTATTCTTCAAGTGTTATCTAATTCAGAACACTACACAACACTAATATTCATGGCTGCATTACTTATAATAGCCATATCAACTTAAGTGTTAATGTTCAGAGCAATAGATAACTAATGTGACATGTATGTGCAATGGAAAATTACTCAATCCTAAAGAGAAATTAAATTCTAATACTGGGTTCAACATGGAAGGGCAAATATTGTACGATCCCAATTAGAAGGACTATCCCAAGTAGGAAGAGACCTGGAGACAAACGTGTACTAGGAATTACCAGGAGCAATGCCTGAACAACACAGTGATCATAGTCCTGGAAGTTAGCAGTTCCGTATTAGTGCATTCGTGTGTTGCTTAGGTATTGCTCCCTCTAACTCAGTGGTTCTCAACCTTTGTAATGCTGCGACCCTTTCATACAGTTCCTCATGTGGTGGTGACCCCAAACTATAAAATTATTTTTGTTGCTACTTCATAACTGTCATTTTTCTACTGTTATGAATCAAATTGTGAATATATAATATACAGGATGCATTTTAATTGTTACAAATTGAACATAATTAAAGCATAGTGATTCATCACAAAAACATTAAAAAGAAAGTAGGTTTAGCATTTAAAAGACAGCTTAGACACCATTGTGGTTTTATTTGACTTGTAATGTATTTACCATACAATTAAAAGGTCATGTGAGTTCATGATGAATCATTTCTTTTCCCTTCTTGTTTGGAAGGACACTGCTGGCATGGTGCAGACTGAGAGCCATGTGTAACCTGCGGAAGGAGCGGTTAGAAGTGCTGATGCTTTTTGTCGTGTTCGAACTTGGCTGGACAGCAGCGGGCGTGCTCACTCATCCAGTTCTCAAACCAGCCTTGCCTCCGGTGGTCCAGAACCACCCTTTCAACATTTTCTGGGCTGCGCCCACAATGCAGTGCAAGCATTTCTTCCACGTGGATCTACATCTTGCATTATTTAATATTATAGCCAATCCTTTAGAGACTCAAAGTGGATCAACAATTGCCATATTTTACCCCAATCAATTAGGCTATTACCCTTATTTCTCTAGTGACAGGAAACCCTTTCATGGAGGCATACCCCAGAACATAAGCCTTCCCAGGCACCTTAAGAAAGATGCTGCTGACATTGTGAAAGCTATCCCTCAGTGGAGGTCAGAAGGACTGGTTGTCATTGACTGGGAAAACTGGAAACCCCAATGGGATAGGAATTGGGGCAATAGGATCATCTATAAAAAACAATCCCTCGCCTTCACCAGAAGCCACCATCCCGACTGGTCAGAAATGAACGTGCAGGCAGTTGCTCAGCAGGAATTTGAAAATGCTGGAAGGAATTTGATGAACACTACCCTCACGCTGGCTTTAGAAATGAGACCAAACTGTTTGTGGGGCTTTTATCTCTACCCAGACTGCTATAATTATGACTACAGGTTAAATCCAGAGAACTACACAGGGAACTGCCCAAAGGAAGAGGTGTTGCGCAACAGCCATCTCCAGTGGCTGTGGGACAAAAGCAGCGCGCTATATCCTTCCATCTATTTGGACAAAATATTGAATTCGAGTGTAAACACTTTGAAATTTGTCCATTATCGAGTGAGAGAAGCCATGAGGGTCGCTGAAATGGCAGGACAGGACTTTGCTCTGCCAGTGTTTGTTCCAGGCCGTGGTATTTACACAGCACTGTCGCCTTGTCACAGGTAAGAGCCACTCCCATCAAACAAAGAAACCACAGTAGCAGCAAAGAATCCTGGAAATTTAATGGCATTCCTACTCAACCTCTAGGTAAAAAGTGTTTTCAGATAATTCTGTAAAAAGTATTATTGAACACTATTTTGAAAGGCCTTTGTTTCTTCACATGAACTTAAAGGGGTTTCCTAAAACATTTGTTAAGCTTAAGCTGCATTATGTAACAGAAATCGATTTTAACCAGAGAGAAAACTCAGGGTCAACCTTTTCAATATGAAAGTTTAGCAGCAATTTTGTGAATAAAAAATGTGGACAACAGAGCTTGAGATAAATTATTAACCATCAACCTATTTTCATTACAGTTTTATGTTCCAATGGATTAAATTAATGGGCATGGGAAGTATAGATTCCATATATTTTTGTCTCTCTGAGGCTGCCATATGATTTGAGTGGTTAGTGACAATGCTGTGTGAATATCTACTCATTTTCAAAGATGCATCTGAAGCTTCACCTCCTCAAGGAAATCTTCCCAGACCCTGCCATGAAGAACTATGCATATCTTTCAAAAAATATCAGGAGACCTAACGGTGTAAATGAGTTACAGATTACAAGAAAGATGAAGCTGTCTGTTCCCATAAGGATTTGCAGTTTCTGAGACCCACAGGGGCCAGTTCTACTCTGTCCTATAGGCTCTGGATGAGTTGGGATTGATGGCAGTGAGCCAACAATAGATGCTACTAATAGAATGGGCACTACTCACACGAGTCCCTGGGGGGTGCGACGTGATAAGCGCTTGACGACACGCCTACAAAGAGGAGCGTAGTGACCTGCTTCCAAAAGGTCACAGCCGCGAACCCCTAGTATTGCACCCTTCCACTCTGAAGCAAGTGGGCTGACCATGAGTCAGAATTGATGCGATGGCCACTAACGGCAAGTAATACTCATACATATTTATTACATTGTAATTACTTAAGCATGCCTGCCTCCACCACCAGACTAAAGCAGTCTCTTGAGGTCAGAAATTGCCCTCCATTTCTTTTTTATGTCTGCTAAGTCTCGAATAGTCCTTGATGCCTCATACATATTTATCCAGTGTTAAATCCCAAACCAGAGTGAATCCTGCTTTTCCAGCAATTTTTTATTCTGCATTTGAGCCCTTCGTTTCAGAGGTGAAGATAACACTTCTCCGTCATGTCTTCTTTTCCGTAGTTGACGGGTCGCGCGTCATTCCTGAACGGTCGTCGGTGACTAATATGGTTGGGCAGGCACAATTCCTGACACTTCTCTGATCTAGGAAGGCTCACTGCATGAAATCGGTGAGAGTGCGGCTCTGGGGGCAGCAGGAGTAATACTGTGGGGAGGATCTGAGTATTCCATTTCAAAGGTAAGTCATGATTTCTTTGCCAACATCTTGAAGGTATGCTGGATGCCGTTGTTGTTGTCGTTTGATTGGTTTCACCTCAGATCCAAACGGTTGTCCATTGTCTGCTCATCTGACTTAGTTAAAAGCCATCGAGCAGGTCTGACTCAGAGCTTATCGTTGTTAGGAGCTATCGAATGAGTCCTGACTCATAGTCACTGCTTGCACAGCAGAACAGAGCTGTCTGGTCCTTTGCTGTCTTGACAACTGTCCTTACGTTTCAGTCCATTGTTGCAGCCACTGGGTCAATCCATCTCCTTGAGGATATTCCTCTATTTCACTGATGTTCCACTTTACCAAATACATCCTTTCTAGGGGCTGGTCTCGTCTGTAGGGGTGGGGAACCTTTTTTTCTACCTAGCCATTGGGATAGTTATAACATCATCTGAGGGCCATACAAAATTATCAACTTAAAAATTAACCTATTATATTCGGTCAAACGTAATTAACTCACCCCTATTGCTTTAATGATTATTCGCTGGGCTGCTCACCATGAAGCCAGTAGCTCAGAATCACCAGAATCCGAGCGATAAAGATGAGGCTTTCTACTCCCTTAAAGAGTTACAGCCTCAGAAACCTCAAGGGGCCTTTCTACCCTGTCCTGTAGGGTGGCTATGGGCCAGAATTGATTCAAGGGCAATGAGTCTGGAGTTGAATATGGTGGCAGGAGCTGCTTCTCTTGGGTGTGGCATGCGATGGTGGGATGATTTCATGGGCCTTATATGACCCCCAGGCTCAACTTTCCCCACCCTTGCAATGATGCATCCAAACTATGTTAATGAAAGCCTCACTACCATACTTCTAAGGAACATTCTGGCTGTACTTCCTCTAAGATAGCTTCTCTCTCACTCACCAACCCCACCCCCTGCCGCTCCTTAATATGTAGACTTGTGGATTCTTGGTTTTAGCTATTCCTGAGAATGACTATATGTCTTTGTTTTTAGGGTCCCTCCCCAAAGCCTCCAAGGTTACATTGCTATTTCTAAGCAGAAAAATGACAAACATTTCATCTGAATCAGATTTCTATTTGGTGGCTTGGTAGACAAAGAGATGCAAAGAAGCTTCCTATTATTGACATAGACATGAGATCACTAACAAGAGGCTTATGCACAAAAGTTGGGTATAAGAATGTGTTCTGTTGGCTCATACTGCGTTAGGGGAAGACAAACCAGTTGGCTTATTTGACAGTGTTACAAAATGAGGGGTTTAAAATGTTCTCAGTGGCCCAGCTGCTTCCCTCTGTGACAGGCTTCTACTGCTCAGCTGGTGCCAGGTCATTACCTGCCTTTGAGGTGTGCAGCCCTGACTTAAATTTGCCATCACACTCATTAGCAAAACGGGTCCACCATATTCTTCACTCTGAGTTGATCCAAGTTATGTTTTAGTATATAAATATTCCAAGGTTATATATAAACTGACTTATTTATTTGATATGTATTAAGGTTATATTTTAAGGATAACGTGGGTGAGTTTTCCATTTTCTTTTTTCCTGCTCTGGATCAATTTTATAACATGAAAATGATCCAATCCTTAAAAGGTAAAAATAACTCAAATGAGAGAATGTTTTGTTTTAGAAATCATTGTGATGGTAATTAATATCTTTCCTAATGTAATGATAAGTTTTAATTATGTTTTATATCTCCTAAATCAATTTTGGTAATTCATCATCAGATGTTTAATTTATTAACATAAAATAACAGCAGGACTTTAATTTAAAAAATAGGTTGAAAACCATCTCTGAACCTTAATCTTATTTCTTTTTCATTTTTTCCGTTAGATTTTTAAGATATAAATGGTCTACAATTTGCTGCTTTTGAAGATGTAGTTCTTGGGTCACTTATCAGTTCTCTTCCCTAAGATTAATTTTCTTTTCCTAACTTGTTTGCTTTCATGGAATTGCTTTTTCAAAGAATCATTTTTGACCTTCGTGAATGTGGATTTCATTTCTGTCTCCTTTGTTAAAAATTGGCGTTGGTCAAGATGATAGTCAGGAAATCCTTACAGTGCAGTTCTCCTCTGTCACATGGGGTTGCCGTGAACCAGACTGAGCTCAGTGCCTCCAACAGCTGCAACGTGGTGAAGGGATAAAGGGTGAAGGGATAAAGGCACCTGCATTAGAATCCTGACCCTGCCATGTACAAACCAAAGGACTTGAACCAACCTTAGTCTCCTCAACTGGAAAATGGAAGTAATAATAGCACTGTTCAGTAGGGCTGCTGTGTTAAAAATGCATAAAGGATCTCGACCTAGGATAAGTGTTCGTCATGGTCTTTTCAGTTCTCTGCCACTTTATCAGAATCTGATGTCAGACCTATAACCAATGTTGAGATGGGCAAGAACAGCAACAGCTTAGTATGCGGGGGTGGTGAGGACCTGTGGGTTTAAAGGGCTGAGTTCTCAGCCAGGATGGTACTCCACTACAACTCAGCTGAGAGCTTGTCCATGTAAGTATCAGCACATCCAGGAATAGAGCTGTTGTCTAGCTGGGAAGTTACCAAGTACTGTCAGCAGGTCAAATCTGGCCAGCCTTCCTATTTTTGTGAATAAAGTTTTATTGGAACATAAAAAAAATAAGAAGTGGATACTTTAAAATCCTTTCTACTAAAAGTTTAAGCTAATTATATATTTAGTAATGATTAAGTGTCTCTTTAGACACCATTTTTAAAATCTAAAAACAGAAAAAAGGTAAATATCCAAGGTAATGTTACATTCCATTAAATAAAAATGTAAACTTCCAAATCAAGAGTAACACATTGGGGGTTGGAAGAGATCATCATAATAACTAAAGTGTCACTCCCTGAGTATTAAACATGGTGGCCAATTGCTGACACTGAGCTGCAGATGGGAAAGGATCTAGTCAATGAAGCCAGCAGTCACTAAGGTGGCACTGCCTAAAGCAGAAGGGCAGGAAGTATGGAGCACAGCACAGTGAAGAGGAAGCCTCTCAGTGCTCAATTAGCCAGCACTGACTCGGCACTGCAGCCGAGAGGGACTTCAAGTGAAAGCCCATGCCCACATGCTTGTGTTTATTTGATTATCGGATAACCTAATCAACGAAAGCTTGTGAAAGTAGGCATTATAAGGCTCCAGGAATTGACAGAAGACCAGTTGACATGTTACAACAAGCTGATGAAGCACCAGAAGCACTCCTTAGCCTCTGCAAAGAAACTTGAAAGACAGCTACCTGGCCAATGGACTGGGAAAGATCTATATTTGTAAACGAAGATGATCCATCACCATGTGGAGATTATGGAATAATATCATTAATATCACATGCAAGCTATTATTGCGGAAGATAATTGCAGAAATATTGCAGCACCACGTCAACAGAAATTCAAGCTAGATTCTGAAAAGGATGTGGCATGATGGATATCGTTGCTGATCTCAGATGGATCTTGGCTCTACGCAGAGAATACCAGAACGTAGTTTACCTGTTTCCTTGACTATGCAAGGACCTTTGACTGCATGCATCTTAACCCAGTATGAACAAATTTGAGAAGAATGAGGATTCCAGAACAATTCATCCTGCTCATGAGGAACTTATACATGACCCAGAAGTAAAAGAGAACAAGGGAACACTGCATGGTTTAAAATCAGCAAAGGTGTGCATTGGGGTAATATCCTTTCTTTATACTTATTCTATCTGTATGCTGAGCAAATAATCTGAGAAGCTGAAATATAAATATGATGAAGAGTAGCTTCAGCATTGGAGGGACGTTTATTAACAATTTGTGATATGCAAATGACACACTCTTGCTTGCTGAGCATGAGGATGACGGAAATACTTGTGATGAAGATCAAAGGTTGTCATACTCAGGATGAATTGCACTCAATGTAAAGAAACCCTAAATCTGCACAAGTAGACAAATAGACAGCATTGTGATAAACAGAGGTTGACATTAAAAATTTTATTTTACTTGGATCCATAGCCGATGCTCATGGAAGCAGCAGTTAAGAAATCAAATATCATATTGCCTTTGGGAAATCTGTTTAGGAACCTCTTTAAGGTGTTGACGGCCAAAGTTGTCACTTTGAGAAATAAGGGGCACCTGATCTAAGCCATGGTACTTTCAACCACCTCATATGCATGTGACCGTTGGATAATGAATAAGGAAGACTGCAGAATAATTGATGCATTTGAATTATTCTATTGGCAAAGAATATTGAACACACGGGACATGGACTACGAGAATGTGGTTTAGAATGTAAGGGTTATCTTCCGAACTTTGAACACATTATCAGATCAAGAAACACCAAAAGGACATCATGCTTGGTACAGGAGAGAGTCATTTAAAAAGAATAAGACCCTGTCCAAGATGGATTGACACAGTGCCTGTAGTATGGGGCTCAAATATGGCAACAATTCTTTGGATGACCAAAGACCAGGCAGTGCTTTGTCAGTTGCACATTGGGTGCCTATGAATCATAATAGACTCAACAGTACCTAACACCAGCAACGAGAACAACATTTTGACTGAGAAGTTCTTTGACCGCATACTTCAATTTCTATATGTCACGGTCTAATGAACATTGTTTGTGGTCCCTAGATGGTGGACACGGACTGCTCCACCACTAAGCAAAAGATTGCTGCCTTGAACTCACTGGGACGCAGCAAAAGGCTTAATAATCTATTTCTGTAAAGACACCAACCAAGAAACATTGTATGGAATAAGAAACAGACCAAATGCCATTGATCGGTACATCCTAGTACAGGTATCTAGGGCTTCTGCTGTAAATAACGATCGTCTATATTCTACCCCCTGCAACATTAGGATGGACAAATAAATCATGATATATATGGGCTATAAAGTACTCAAAGCAGCTAAAGTGGACATGCCACAGCTACATGTATCAATTTAGTGAAAACATCTCAAAAACATTGAATTTGAAAAGTAAGTTATCAAATACATATATGTATTTCACACAAAAAATTATGCAAATGTTTCAAAAGCAAGATTGCTCCACATGTTGCTTCTAATGATCCAACATGTACTAAGTTGAAAAAACAAAGCAACAAAACGAAGACAAAACTCTCTGTGGGAGGAGAAAGCCCTGCTTTTCTCCCAAAGGAGCTGCTGGTAGTTTCGAAGTGGCACCCCCTTAATTCAGTGTCTCAGGAGCAACACTCTCAAGCCACCTTTCCCTCTTGTTTTCACTCTCATATTTAATTCACCGTCAAGTTCTCTTCTCTCTGCCTTTAAAAAACATGCAGACTTTAACCAAGCAACCATCAGCTCGTCAGTAACTCACTGCAACAGTTTATCAACTGTTCTCCGACTTTTTCTCTTGACTTCTACAATCTGTTCTAATGAAATGGAATTAGAAAAAAATAACAAAAGAGGTGGACAAAAAATTCTAGTTGCTTTCAAATTAAAACTATTCTTGGAAAATAACTTGGTCAATGAATAAATCAAAAACTATAATTTCAAATACATTTAAAAATAGCAAGTAGAGTTTTAAAAATCTATTGCCACTGAGTGATTCTGACTAATGGGGACTCCCATGGGGCATAGAATAAGGTTATCTCTGGAGAGATAGAAGAATGGGGACACTTGGCAGATAGAAAAAACCTGATGGGGGTTGCCAGGGCAGTTAATTATTTAATGTTGATCATCTAGCCAAAATCTTTAGCTGCCACTGAACAACCCTTTCCTGCATGGATCTGGTAAGAAGGTAAGGGAAGGTACTTGTAGGATTCAACTGTGTTACACAAGGATTTCCTGCAGTGGAGTCCTGCTATGTATAAAATCCTGCTGTGTGTGCAATGAGCCCTCCGAAGCAGCAGAGGGAGCTCATTTCTATCAAGAGCTACAGGTGGAGCGAGTCCTCTAGACCGGGCTCTCTGCCCAGTGAACCTGCTGGACACAGAAGATGGCTGTAACATCAGAGGGCCTGCATCAGAAGCAGGACTCAGAGCATAGAACGGAGTGGAGGACTTCCCAACCCATGGAGCAAGTTACCGTGAGTGCTTTTGAGCAGGAGGCTGGCTTGTGGAGTGGGGTGCCTCTGAACACATCGCTGGGGAAGCTTGGCTGTCTGACCCTCTGAGCTTGAGCTGAGCACCTTCAGGCTGAGGCTTACTGGGGTGAGGGGCCTCTGGGCACTTAATCCAGGGAGCTCAGTTTGCTGACCCCCAAAGCTTGAGCTGAATGCCTTCAGGTTGAGGCTTAGCGATATTGTAAGGTCTCTGGGCAGTTATTAGCAGACCCAAGGAATTCTGTAACATATCCTGATAGCATTGCAACCCTAAGCATTTTTTTGTTGGCTGTACGACAAGTTAGCTTCCTTAATAAGCCCTTTAATCACGAGTCTTCTCTGTGAGTTCAATGTTGCCATTGCAATGACTATTAGATCCTAGAGAAGGGAAACGGAGGACATTCAGTGAGACATCTCAGGGGTGCTGAGAGGACTTTACACCATGGAATCCAACACTAATTATCTGGGGTGTGAACCCTCACCCAAGTTACTGAAAACAATCAGACAAACAAAAATCTAAAGTTAACATGCATTCAGTACCAGGGTTGAAAATGTTTCACAATGACAAGTACATTTTGCAAAATAGCCCCATTTGATGATGATCTTTTCAAAATGTCACTAAAAATCTCTCAGTTAAGGAATATTCTCACATGGGAAAATGTGGACTCATATTGCCCCAGACATGATATGGAATTGATTAATAATAGGTTTCCTAGTCAAAGGCAGTTACCATTCATGTGATTTTTATCAAGGCTAAGTCTCCCATTTAAACAATGAAGGCTCCTTTTCAGTGTTACTGACGCCACAACTTTGGGCATTAATACACCACCTGGATAGTAGGATGGCATATTGAGAATGATTTAAATACATATAGTTCTCCATGCTTCTAACAAGGTACCTGTTTAACCATGCAAAAGTCTATTTTGGAGTTACTGGGCCATTATGCTCTTTTAAATTTTTTTCCGTACCTTTAAAAAAAAATCATTTTATTGGGGGCTGGTACAACTCTTATCACAATCCATTGATACATCCATTGTGTCAAGCACATTTGTACGTATGTTGGCCATCATCATTTTCCAAACATTTTCTTTCTACTTGAGCCCTTGATATCAGCTCCTCACATTTCCCCTCCCTCCCCCACTCTCCCTCCCTCCCCCTTGATACTTTATAAATTATTATTATTTTGTCCTGTCTTACACTGTCTGACGTCTCCCTTCACCCACTTTTCTGTTGTCCATCCCCCAGGGAGGGAGTTATATGTAGATCCTTGTGATCGGTTCCCCCTTTCTAACCTACCTTCCCTTTACCTTCCTGGTATTGCCACTCTCAGCACTGGTCCTGAAGGGATCATCCATCCTGGATTCCCTGTGCTTCCAGTTCCTATCTGTACCAGTGTACATCCTCTGGTCTAGCCAGATTTGTAAGGTAGAACTGATATCATGATGGGGGTGCGGGGAGCATTCAAGAACTAGAGGAAAGTTGTGTGTTTCATCGTTGCGACACTGCACCCTGACTGGCTCGTCAGCCATTATGCTCTTAACACGACCTTTGCAGCCTCCCTTTGCAGTAGACATCTGTGAAACAATAACTGAAGGTGTGTTCGGAAAACTCCGGAGTCCTCCTCCTACGTGTACGTGCCTGAAAGCAGCAGTAAGAAGTATGTCCCAAGTACAAGCTTCAGATACACCATTTCTCATGATAAAAAGGGCAAGGCAGTGAAAGACATGAAGGGTGACTTTGTGTGCCACTGCTACTATGGCTGGCACGGACAGTCTTGCCAGCAGCGCTCTTCGGACTTCTTGGGAGGGAAGCACAAGGCATCCACTGCGAGCTGCCATCTCTCAGCTTTTCTCACTCTGACCTTATCTGCGTCTATGCTCGGTATTTTCATAGTAGGAAAACTTACTATGTCAGGTTTTCCTTGAATTCCTGAAGACTAAAGAGTGTTTTTTTTTTTGTTTTTAACTTCAAACCTTTTAAATAAATCTATTGACTTCAAAGGTGGAAAGAAAATTGTTGACCCCATTCGTTGAGTTAGCTTAATTGATGTTAGCCATAAGGAACTAGGAGGTAGGAAGCACCACGAGGGATGTATCCAATCCCTGCCTTTGGAGAGAGTCACTTCTTGTGGGAAAATGGCAACAGCAAGTAAATCATAAATAAACAGCCGCACAGACACAAGGGGGCTTCCAAAAGTCTGCAGAAAAATTCCATTACCTTGTCATTCCATTTTTTATGTGATTTTTACCCCATCCTCACCCCATGTAAGGAATGGCATTAAGTGCTGAGGGAATAAGAACTCAGGGTGAAGGGCTTAGGTAGCGTGGGAACTCTGGTAGTTTTATGCAGGAGAGTCAAGAAGAGACATCCTGGGGTGGGAACTGGGTGAGCGCCCAACTACTCATCAAAATGTGGCTAAGTCGAAACCTATGCAGCGGTCCCTTGGGAAAGGTCTGACCATCTATTTCCAAAAGGAAGCCTATGTGGCATTCTTCTCTGACATGCGTGGTGCCCTTGTGCATTGGAATCAACTTGATGGCAAACATTTTGCCCAGTCAAATCAGACCTCTTCTAAAGGCTGCTGGAGAAGCAGGTCAGCAAAGTATCAAGAGAGAGCATTCTTGGACTAGGAAACAGAGAAGTTCAGTGTCTTTTCAGTGTCCCATGACCCACGTGGCATCCAGAAGGCCCATGTGGGTGATGGAAGAGGAAGAGGGCAAGGAGAGGGGAGCCAGGTCACTAAGCAACTTCATTCAAACTAGGTTTTTGAGCTAAGGTATCTCTTCTCTTAAATGACTGAGTCGAAGTTTCTAGAGCAGTGGTTCTCAAACTGTGGGTCGCGACCCCTTTGGGGGTCGAACGACCCTTTCACAAGGGTCGCCCAATTCACAACAGTAGTAAAATTACAGTTATGAAGTAGCAATGAAAATAATTTTATAGTTGGAGGGCCACCAGAACATGAGGAAATGTGTTAAAGGGCGATGGCATTAGGAAGGTTGAGAACCACTGTGATAAAGGAAGTCAAAGGAGATAAAGTGTGTATAGTTTAAAACTAAACACACACTTAGCCTTTTGGGGGAGTACAAGAACACCGATTATGCTTAGTGACTGATTGCTAAAATAGTGTTAAATCAGGGCAGTGCATAGCAAATTGAAGAATTTGAAATAAGGTCAGAGGGGACATGAGAGACAATAATGCGGGTGCTAAAGAAAGCAACTATTCCTTTACAGCTCGTTGCCTTGCATAAGTTCAGAATTCATAAACCTCACAGGAGACTCCAGGACAATTAAATTATGCAGGTGAGAGGAGATCTACACTGGATGCTGTAGAGTTCAATTTTACCCGAAGGATCACTGGGGCTCTTGGAAATTAGGAGGGAAGCCCGACTAGGCCCCAAATGAAACTGGATTTATGTGGGAAATTCTTTGATTGAGAACATGTTGGTTTAACAAACTCTCCATATCGAGGCAATTCATTTCCTTTCAGTTCTCAGTAACAACCAATCATTTGAAACATGTCTGTGGTTCGGTTTCACTTGCCCTGACTTTGGTGTAGAATCTAGATCATCTTACGCAACGGCCCCAATAACTACTGTGCTATTTTACTCTCTCACTGGAGAAGATGTTTCCCTACTTGATACATTTAAAATACTATGTTTTCATACTTATTTATTCTGGGCTCAGAAAGAGCAGCAGTAAACAGATTTTATTCAGGTAGTTCAATTTGTCCGTTTATCTATTTTACATAGAATTAAGAGGTCAAGGAGTAGTGAAATATAATTAGCTAAATAAAAGGGTCTTTGCTAAATCCCCCTATTTTGTTAGTATCATGCTATACTCAAAAACCAAACTCACTGCCATTGAGTCAGTGGTGATTCATGGCCACCCCCTACGAGTGTCTGAGACTATAACTATTTATGGGAGTAGAAAGCCCGGTCTGTCTCCCATGGAGCTGCCGGTGGTTTCAGACCATGAAGATCACAGCCCAATTCCTAATCAGCACATCACCTGGGGTCCAGCATCCTGCTGCCCGAGGGGTGGTGTCATGGATTACAACCTAAAGGTCAGCAGTTGGGACCCACCAGCTGCTCTCTAGGAGAAAGGTGGAGCTTTCTGCTCAAGTAAAGATTTGCAGTCTCAGAAACCCACAGCTGAAGTACCGCCTGGCCTACAGGGTTGCTATGAGTCAGAATTGACTGGACAACAATAGATTTTACTTTAGTCCAAGCAGAAATTGGTTTTGCAACTATTAAAGTTGGTCCCAAGCCCTGGTAAGTAGAAAGAGATGTCAACAACAATTATTATAGGGTTTTGCTGTTCAATGAATTCCAGTAAATCAGGAAAAGGCAGGTATGAATGAAAATGACGTCCATTTTGAGGACGAGGGAAATGAGATACAGAGAGAATGAGCGCCGTAGCTCATTGCACCCAGAAATCAGTGGATGCAGCAAGGCCAGGATCACTGCTCTTCACTGTTGGGGCTACAGTGCTTCGAAGAGTAATCAGAGCATCAGGTGGACTAACGCAGATGAATGAACAAGGGGGGAATGGCTCTGGGGAGACTGTGGATGACAGTGGAAGTCCAAACTCCATTTGCAGGGTCCCCACATAGCTGAAGACTCCAGTGAACGCCCTCTGACAATCGTCCAGGAATATGAATAATCTTGCTATCAGATCTGTGACGTATATACCAATAAAATGATTTTAAAAAAAAGAAAAAACGGAAGTATATTGAATGGGTAAAAATAAAGAGTAAATTCCACAGCACCCACAGGTAATTATTGTACATTAAAAAAAATACTTGTTTTACTTGCAGCAAAAGTACCCTGAAGGTACTGGTAGACTTCTGACTTTAAAGATCTTGATTTAGTAAAAAAAGAAAAAATCCACTGAGGTTGAAACAAAATATGAAACACATTGAGGTTTATTATTATTATTACTATTGGCAGTTTCCCTTGGTTTACATAATTCTGAATTTATCAAACATATGAGAAAATGTTCATGATCATTAGAATAAGAGAGGTATAAATTAAGTCAACAATGAGATATCACTTCACATGAACACTTCTGGAAATATTCAATAAAACAGAAAATAACAAATGCTTGAGAGGATGTGGAGACATAGGAACACTTTAGCATTGCTGGTGGGACTAGAATTGTATAAACATTATGGAAATAAGTATGCCATTTCCTTAAACAAATGCAAATCCATGTGCCTTATGATCCAGCAATTTCACTACTGAGTATATACACAAAAGAATAGAACACAAACAGACATATATACACCTATGTTTATAGCAGCAATTTCTACAGTAGCAAGAACATGGAAACAACCATAAAAACCAATTATATAGGAATGGATAAACAAGCTCTGGTACATTCTTAATAAACACTCAAGATGTGGACAAAACTAGAGAACATTATGCTTATCAGACTCAGTCAGTCTTACAAAGATAAACATATAAGAAAAAACCAAGAAGGAAAAATGTGGTTTGTACCCCAGTAGACATGACTTTGACAACTACGAAGAGGCCAGGAATGGGGGTGAGAACAGGGAGAAAGGGGAGGTTGGGGTAAGACAAAAACAAATGGGAGTTTTAATATAAAATAAATAAAAATTACTTCATTGGGGGAAAAAAAAACCCCAACCCTTCAGCTTCCTGACCTCTCTGATCTCAGTATTGGTCTGAGTGACTGGAAAAGGAGGAAGAGTAAAACTGAAGTGGACGTAGGTCCTTAATGTCATACCAGTTCATTTCAAACCTTAAAAACAACAACAACAACAACATCAACAACATTCTACACTGTTGGCTAAATTAATGCTACTATCAATAGAATTACCTTATGCCACAGAAGATGGTTGCGAATGTTCTCAAATAGGAAAACCAGAGGCATGTATAAATCATAGATATGTGAATCTAGCCCCAGTGTAAAAACAATTAGTTCTATGACATGGCCCTGCTTCATGCTTGACCTCGTGAAGACATCATTTGAGATCTAGATGTTATAACAAAGCGTGGTGAAGAAACTAGATGGTGTCCAGCTATCAGAATGAACAGTGTCTGGGGTTGTAAAGGCTTGTCTTCGAACAAGCAGCTAGCTTGGAAAAGATGTCTGGTGGTGCTTATTTGTACGATTTCATTGTATTTCAGTCAACGATACCGTTTTGATGAAGATTAACTTCTGATAATGTCTTTAATTCTTCAGTGGTTTTTAGTGCTATTTTTATTTGCCCTCAAACATTAGATTTACAGATCCCCTTTCAAAGCTGATCACTTTTTCTGACCTCTGTCCACCACCCCTTATTAGCATTTATTGGTGGGGGTAGATGCGTTGTGGAGAAACGTCCTTCCTGGAATAATGTTATACCAGCACTTTCCCCATTTAATATACCGTGGAGGCGTGTCTCTCCTAGGGTTGGCATGCCAAGTCCTTCGGTCACAAGTACGGGGAGCAGACCACGTACACTTCCTTCCAGGTCCTCATTTTCCCACAAACCTCAGTCATAAAGAAACAGAAAATATTGAAAAACTTGAACAAATTAAAAATTGGTTAAAAGGGAGAACACATTTTAGCCTCACTAGATCTTCAAGGGTGAACTGTCCAGTGCACTCTGCATGATAGAAAGGCCATTTGAATCTGGTCCGTGGTCAGAGGAGACTCATTGGGGCGGATCCACACGTATTTCCCCTTCACTCTTTTTCTTCAGCTGAAACAGCTTTTAAGTGGGTCCAAGGGGAAATCAAATGATGGTATTACAGTTTAACCTAACTATATCTGACATAATGGACTTTAAACTGTCCTCTGTCTGATAACAAGACCATCACCTCCCTCTACTATGAAGAGAGAGCATTCATCTGCGTCTTAGCCTGTGTGGACACTGCAAATGGATTTGGGGCTTCCACTGACATCCATAACCTTCTGA